TTCGAGTCCTCTTTTTATATCTCTCTTTTCGGGGTGTATTCTAATTTCTAAGAGTGGGAATCTTCCAAAACTTTAACGAATTAAATTTTGTGCCAGTGTCCTCATTAGGCGGGGTGTTTCTCCTACTTTTCGAATTTTCACTCGTGGTGATCGTCGATTGGTGATCAGTTCAGAATCCCTTGAGCTCTAGGTTTCCCTTACGCCCGTGATTTGATTTAGACAAAGTCCAAATGTAACGTCACAGAAGTTTCGTCATTATTGATTTAGTTGTATTTATCGGATATTTTGTGAGAATTTTATTATCTTTTCGTTATCAGCTTTTTATTCCGCTGGAGAATTCCACTGCGAGGGTATCTACTGGTTTTTATTTGTTTTTAGGCGACCGGCGCGGTTTCGTCGCGCCTTTCTCACGGTTACTCGTAGATATAGATATTGATAAGTGACTAAATGTTTAAGGAATGTGTGACATAGGATGCTCTATTTACCGAACGACTCATTTCTATCACCGATCGATTATCATTGCCGCAACTTCGCGGAAGGAAGGAATCGTGGAGTCACCAGGACGTAACACAAAGTTCCTCGATAATTGATAATATTTCATTGTCGAGGCCATTTTTGCCGGCTTGACGCGAAGCTTCCAGCAATCGCAAGCGATCTACCAACTCGTTGGGATCATTCCAATGCACGTAATCGATCTTATTATCGTTTAACGTCATAGCGCGCGATATGTTTATACCACTTCCAGCTTTTTTTCCAGGCGCTATTATATTTTTAATAAAGATTAATGGCGCTAATATATTTTTATACTTGTATCCCTTGTTACTTAACAATGGATTACGCATATCATTGCCACGTCTATGCGCATTTGTCGCCAGTAATATATTTTTGTATTTAATTTTATCATCGTCATTGTATACGTCACCGTCGGGTATTCTCTTGAAAATCAACTCGTAGAGACCTGGTGTTCCCACATATCTTATTCCATCGATAATTATATTGTCATCTTTATCCACATCAAAAATTTTATCACCAAGCATCATTCCTTCGTTGCAAAATTTAACACCGTAAACATAATCCATACTAATATTTTTATCTTGACTCAAAATAGCTCCCACATATTTTTGCCCTAGTGGGCCCA